ATATTAAAGGGGTCAGAAGACTTTTTCTGCAAAAGTCTGGTTAGTAAAAAAAAGGTCTAGTTAGGTTTTGTGAGCCATACAGTCTTGGTTTCAACTGTTCAATTCTGCCATTGCAGCATCAAAGCAGCCATAGACAAGGGCTGTGTTCCAATAAAACTTTATTTCCAAAAACAGGCAGTGAGCTGGATTTGGACAGTGGGCTGATTATCCAGACATAACGGAGCACTGCCAAACAATTTCAGAGTTTGCATATGCATTACTGTATATGATTGCACGAGGATATACAGCACTGCTTTAATTATTGAGAGGTAATGAGAAAAGAACATAAGGATGATGCTTGTGATAAGTACAGGCTAAATGATATCACGGCATGATGTGTAAGCAAAAGCTTTCCAGCATATGGAGGAAAAGTGGTGGACAACAAGATTATCGCAGGGCTCAGGGGCATGACAATCTCAAAGGAAGCTTGGAAACTTCGTGGACTGTAAATTATTTTTTATCCCTCTAAAAAGAAAAATAATGCTCAAGTTTGAGAAACACTGCCAAATACAGGCCTTTACATCTGAACTGCAGGAACAAATTATAAATGAAAAAGTATGGAGGCTTGGTAAGGTGGGTCAGGGTAGGGAGAGCCACACAGTATCATGGGAGGTAGTGTAGTTATCACAATTAAACCTCTATAGGCAGAAATGGAGGCAGGATGAGTGCAGGTATCAGTGCCTGCCTGAGATTGCAGTGTTTCAAGGACTCAATCAATTCAGCATGTCAGGGAACCAAGGAGGGAAGGTAGAAAAAGATCCTGAGTCCAGCAGAACTTCACTAGACAGTTGCCAACAAGACATCAGAGTCTGGATAAAGGAGCTGTGTGCATCAGTAACTTCTCATCTGTTGAACAGAAAGGAGGTTTCAGGCAGAACACATGTGGACAGTGAAGAGAACAAAAGAAAATTCATAGACTTTGGTACACACCAGAGAGGAAAGCCATGAGCACTATGGGAAAAAATACAGCAGAATAAAGGTAAAAGAAAAAATTGTTCTAAGGACTCAGAGTAAGAACAAACCTTGGAAATCAGTTTACTACAGAAACCAAAACCAATTTAGGAAACTGGCATTCCCATTATGATGCAAGAAGATATAAGTTCTTTGAAAAAAAAATAGTAAAAAGCCATGAGAAGACAACAAGCTGAAACAGTATAACAGAGTGAGTTCAAAAGACAACAAAATAACAAATAAAAAAGATAAGGAAGGACTACGAGGAAACTTAAATAACAGTTTAAATCTATAATGGAATTATTAAAGAACAAAATGTCTCTATATTCACCAGTATAGAGTACAAATAAAAAATGAAAGGGCAAGCTACACGGACTGGGAGAATGTATTTGCAATACATATATCTGATAAAAGGCTTGTATCTACAATTTACAAAGTATTCTTACCACCTAATTATAAAACAACAACAACAAAAACCCACATTAAGTAAATGGGTAAATGACTTGAAGAGATGCTTTTCAAAGAAAGATGTAAGAATGTACAATAAGTATGAAAAGTTGCTCACCATTATTAGTCATCAGAAACATGCAAATTAAAACCACAACAAGATAGTATTTCACACCCAGTTGGAAGGCTAAAATTAAAAGGACTGACATCAGTGTTTGCAAGGATGCACAGCTACGGGACTCTTATCTATTGCTGGTGGTATATAAAATGATAAAACCACTTTGGAAATAGATTGGCAGATACTTACAAAGTTAAACATGTACTTATCTGATCCACCAATTTCACTCTTAGGTATTTACCAAGGAGAAATGAAAATCTATATCTATAAAAAGACTTATACATGAATGTTCACAGCATTACTTTTCATAATGACTAAAAACAATTCAAATATCCATAAACAGGTGAGAAGAGAAACTGTGGATTATTCATATAATGGACTACTGTTTACCAATTTAAAAAAAAATAATGAACTACTGACACCCACAATAGAATGGACGAATCGCATAAACATTATGCTGAGCAAAAGAAGCTAGACACCAAAGAGTACATGAGAAATGACTCCATTTATGTGAATTCTTGGGAGAGACGAAACTAATCCATTAATATGGAAATCAGATTGGTGCTTGACTGGAGTGGGGTTAGGGAGGCAGGATGTAAGGAGAGATGGCAAAGGCACAAGAGGAGTCTTAGGGTAATGGAAATGTTCTACATCTTCGTTAGGGGTGCTGAATAATTACATAAGTGTATGTATTTGTCAAAACTCACTGAACAAGACTTAAACTATGCATTTTATTATATGTAAATTATATTTTAATAAAGTTGATTAAAAATAAAGGTACCCACAAGCACCTTTGTTATAGAAAGTTGGGGATTATGTAAATTAAAAAAAATATTCTATGAGCCTAGAGGCTTTCAAAGAATTTTTAAGAAATTGATATCGGATTTCTCCTCAGAAATACTAAGGAATGATAATAAAGTGTTTATAGTTGTATGTTTAAGAGAAAAAAGAAGTCCCAAGAATTTTATACCTAGCCAAAGATTGTTCACAAATGAATACGAGAAAAGCCAACATAAATACGGGAGGGCTCATAAAATATACCACTCTTTCACCATTCTAGAAAAAAAAAAATTGAAACCATTTCTCAGCTGACTGAGAGATGATCCAAACTTAAAAGTTCAAGAATAAAGACAGTCTAAATACTTATTGTAAATATGATTTGAAACTAGATGAAAATGTAAAACAATAATTATTATTCCTAGAAGAAAATGTAAAATACAAAAACAAAATATAGAGATAATATGAGTCCTAAACCCCAAACTGTACTAATTAAAACTGAGGAATGTGAGTGAAGAACGATAATACAAGTAAATGCTCATTAAATTCCTTATTTGATATAGAGTGAAGTCAAGAGCTTTTGGTTCACTAAATTACAAAATATCCACTTATGAAATACTCCAAAGTCATAAAAATAATGAGGAAGCTCTTTATGTTTAGAAATAAAATTATCTACAAGATAAATTTATTCTAAAGGAGGAAGCACAATCAAAAAATATGTACCACATGCTATGACCTATGCAACAAGAGAAAAAAATCTATTCTACAAATGAAAAAAATCTATTATGCAAAGGAAACCGGTGACCTTTGCTACCCTGGGGAAGGGTTACTTGGTAGCTGGGAATTAGGAATTAAAAGAAGACTTTATTTTTGTCTTTTGTTCATTTTTAAGTGAACCATAAAAATGAGACCTATTTTTTAAAAAAAATTCTTAAATGTATTGTTTTGTTTCTACTTTGAGAATCAAGTAAATACTCATTCAAGACTCCAGAACAAGTATAAATCTAGTTTATGAAAAGGATATATCACAAATCAGAAAAGATTCAATAAATGATCTTGGAGTAACCGGTTAGCTATTTGGGAAAAAAAAGTTTAGTCTTCATTTCACAATCCTGACAAGAAAACAAAAAAAATTTAAATTAAATAAATTATATTAGAACAAAACAGGTGACTCTTAGATCAAAGAAAGATTTTCAAAGAGTAATTTGACAGATTTCACATAAAAATAAAAATCTCCTGTAAATCAGAAACATTATATAAAATTAAAAGGCATACTAAAAACTAGGAAAAATAACTCTTCACGAATATGAGATTAACATCTTTATTTTTTACAAAGCCGATCAAATTAAAAAACAAAACAAACTTCTGGAAATCTCACTAAAGCCTAATTGGGCAAAGAAAATGAACAGATAGGAAATGAAAATGGTTAAGAAACATATAAAGACATGTAAAACCTCACTGATAATTGAAGTAATCCAAATTAAAAGAGATGTTCTCTTGTCTATCAGATGCATGAAGTTCCCAGGAAACAGGGACCCTCATAACTACTGATGTATGTATGTAAATTGTATTATTGGTACAATAATACAATTGTACCAATTTCTGGAAAACAACTAGGGCTATGTACTAACAGCCTTACACATGCTCAACACTTTTAACTCAATAATTCTAATTTTATATAAAATGTCTCCTCAGGAATTTAATGCAACTTTATTTATAATAGAAAAAAAACCCTGGAAATGATAAAAAATGTCTAATAATATAAAAATCTTAAGTAAAATCTTATATAGTCATACACCAAAATATTATGCAGACATTAAAATCAGAGTTTTGAAAAATACTTAATGACTTGAAAAACATTCAAGATATACCATAAGTGAAAAAATTGTTACATGCTATGACAATAATTTTGAAATGATAATACATACTATAGGCACAGAGCTTAAATACTGGAAGGAAATGCAAGAAAATGTTAGCACTATTTTCCCTAAAATTATTTAATTTTATTACTTTTAATTTTCTGTAAATTTTCTCAAGTTTCCATAAGTATGTGGCAGGAGACACATTTTAAATGAAGAAATATTACAATTATAAAAATTTTACCTGGCATCACCATGCTCAGGCTCTCAACTGAAAGAGTTAATTATTGCAATTAGCAAATAGTTTAGAACTTGCCTTCCATCTTTCTTATAAACCTTTGGTTCAGAACTCCATGGGCAAAGTGTGTCGAATAGATTCTTTACCAGGATAACTCCTGCGGGCCGGCCAACAGGAGCACTATCGCTCAGCATAATGAATAACCTTGTGCCGGCTCCATGACCTAACCACAGACAACTCAAGCGTAATGGTGTTTCCATGACACATTTGCCTGCTCAAAGCATCTTCGACCAAGACCACCCACCTGCTTATGGCCCACAAACCACCAGGTCAAAGCAATTGCTGAAATAATCTAGGAACTGATAACTCTGGCATGAAGAGCCCCACATGCCCAGGCTCCCAAATGCCCCTCCCCATCCCCCCGTTTTCTCTGGCAGGATGTTTTATAGTATGTTCATTCCAATCCAACTAATAAAGGAGCTCTTTAAAGTTGCAAAAACCACTGTGGATTGGGTTCCTGGGTCCAGCATGTGTGCAATACATAAAGAAGCACAGAACACATGTACAGTACCTTCCTGAAGCTGTGTTGGCTTGGCAGAATTTTCCCCACTCATTAAAACAACAAAAGATGCAGCTGCTCGAACTGTAGCCTGCCATGTTGACATGGCAACGGGTGGCTCCTGGCATGGAAAAAGGGCCCTGTTGTTTATGGGTGATCCCATAGTATAAACACATGGCCTGCAGAAGAAAGACAAAGAAACAAAGGGGGAGAATCTTTAAAATAAGTTGTCACTTTTCTCAACACTATGGTAGAGAAGGTTAAGTTGAGCTTTCAAAGAGAAAACATTTGAGGCTTTGTAGTTGACTTGTTTCGAAGCATTTTGAACTGAAACCGCCAAGGGCTGGGTGAGTCACAATTTCGCCCAAATGAATTTCTTAAATATGTAAAAAGAGTTGTTGTTTTTTTTTTTTAAGGGAAAATATTTTTGGATAAAGTTTTAAATACTAGTCTGCCAAGTTAAAATTTATATTATCCTTGCCCCTCCCTTTAAGCTCTTATGCCTTTAAAAGAAAAAGACTGTAGAGATGTTCTCGCAAAACTTTTAGAAAATATTCTGGAACAGAAAATATGTTTGGAGATCACTGAGATATTAATGCTTGAAAAAACAAGCTGGTGGTCTCAAATCCAGTGCTGATGGGCAGATACCCCAATCTTAGAAACCGCCATCTCAAATGGAGCCCTTGTGGGAATCCTTGTGTGGAGGCCAAGAACAGGGGTTGGCATATAAAGAGGACTATAGGTCACAACAACAAGGCTTGTGATGGAAAGGCCAAGTGTAGCGGTTACTAAAGCAAGTGGAAGAAACCAATGGCATGACATTAGGGCTCACGCTGCTACAATTAAAAACTACAAACCCGCCTATACGTGACTGACTGTTGGGAAAGTGTCTTAAAAAAAAAAATGTTTCCACTTTTTTCTCTTCAGGAATTATGACAAATATGATGTAGTTTCAATCAGCTTGATTAACATCACTATGATCGAATGTTTATTGTGTTCCTACAATGTACGAGAACGGATAATCCTTTACTATCAGTCAGGGGCCAGTGAAGAAAAGAGAAAGCAGCCTAAGTCATAACAAACGGAGTTAATTTGATATAAGGAATTGGTTATAGAAGTGACAGAATAGCTGAGAAGCCAAACAAAGGACAGTAAGGCAACCCAAAGATTAACTACAGCAGTAAGTAGCTGTGAATCCTCGGGTTAGAGAAACTGTTACTGGGTGTTACTGGGTCATCTGACAGAATTTGGAGTCACAGTGGGGACTGTCCGATGGGTACTGGGACCAGAGGAGGCTCAGTCACTGCTGGAGATGCCAAAGGAAGCAGGGAGGGGAGAGTTGTTTCTCACCAACTCCTGCTCTCAAATTTTTCTATCAGTGCCCTGCATTGGTCAAACCTAGCAGGAAACAGAAGACAAAGAGCCTGGGTAATGAGGTGCGTGGTCATTCAGAGATAAACACAATAAGAGCAGAAAATGGACCTTAGGACAGACAGGCAGGTGCAGGCTACCTTCCCACAAGGGTACATAACTCGCAGGTTCGACATGGGACAGGGAAACAAGATCAGAAATTCAGAAGACCAGTCTTGCCTGGGTTACCAACTTATTAAACGACTGTGGAAAAGTCTCTCGACCTTTCTGAGTCACATGTAAAATGGGATTAGAGTACAAGTTGGTGACCTCTATTGTCTGTTCTGGTCCACAAATTTATAATTCTGTATTCCAACTTTATAGGTCCAAGAACAAAGACAAATTTCATGGTAGACCCAGAATCTCCCATCAGTCTCAACAAGATATGAGCTCCCAACTTGGTTCCCTCACATCCTTGGTTAACCAACTCAACCTCAGTTAACTGTCCAGTTCAGGCTGTTTAAGAACCTAATGAGGAAGGCTTCCAGAGCTGCCTCCTCCCCTTAGTGCTGCTGGTAGTGGGTATGTGGTGGAAGGGGTGCTGTAACAGCTTAAATAGCTCAGGCAGGTTGGGTCGAGTATGCCTAGTTCTGAAAATTCTACCTAGTATTTTTTTTTCCTAAAAAGCTCATCTTAGCAAAGGGTTCCCCCCACCCCCAAAAATGAGTATTGTTGGTGGAAACAGGATATATTTCCGGTGGCCAAATGGCAGGCATAACTCTGATAATGGCAGACCTTGAGACTCAAGGCTTGCTTTTCCACTAAAGCAGAATGGACCCTACAATTTTTCTCAGTTCAAGAACTCTAGGAAGCCACTTCCAATCTTAGACTTGTGGAGTTAAAAACCTATTTGTGATATCTCATGCAAAAGGGGAGCTGATGCCATATTATGGTCTTAAGTCCTAAGGTGCTTAGGCCAAGTCTAAAAGTAGCTATGTTCTCTTCCTGTTGTGCTCAGCACCTCATTTCCCCAGGGCGACTCTGGTGTTACAGGTCTTCTCTTCCCTGCACAGGAAACAAATCCTCCCCAAAAGATTGGCTTGCCAAGAGGTTTGCTCTCCTCCCTATAAAGTTGGATCGGAGGCCATGATAGGATATTAATATGCATTCCATCTGTGACCTTAGGTATATGCAAACCTCAAGGCTTCCTCCATCAGCCTCCACACCTCTGCTTCCTGATATTTACACCCTGTGTAGTCTCCTTGCATGCTGTACCAGGTTTCGTCTGTGTGACCAATAGGAGATGGCAGATATCACTTCTGAGATTAGATTGTTTAAAAACCTGTGGCATCCATTTTAGGGGTTTTCCATCTCTCTCTCTCTTATCACTTGCTCTGGGGAAAATCCAGCTTCCACATCATGAGGACACTCTGGCAGCCTATGCAGGGGCCCGTGGGGTAGAAACTGAGACCTTCAGCCCAGTCAGTGATGACCTGAGGCCTATCAACAACCACACCTGTGAGTATGGCAGAGGATATTCCAGCCTCATTCAAGCCTTGAGATGCCTGTAGCCCTGGCAGAATGCAACCTTGTAAGAGATCCTGAGCCAGAACCACCCAGTTCAGCTGCTCCTGGATTCTTGACCCTCAGAAACTGTGTGAAATAATAAATGTTTATTCTTTAATCTTTTAGGCTGTTGAGTTTTTGAGTAATTTGTTATCCAGAAATAGATAAGTAACAGAATTTTCTCAGATTCCTGGCTCAAGTGATAAGATGAATCATTAAGCTATTAAACAACAAAGGACACTCAGGACAACAAGTAAGGTCACAGGAAGGGACAAGGAAGAAGAGTTCCTATCTTTTTGATTTGTATATGAAAAGCTTTATACACCATATGGAAGAGGACATTTGTATGGACACAGGGATTGAGAGTTCCTAACTCCAAACAGTGACCCCTCCAACAATGGGACTGATCTCAGAAAATTTAAGAATGATGATTTTTATGAAGTAATAAGTGTTGATGTTGCTAGCAGATTTGAGTCTGGGTGCCAAACACAATTCAGGGGTTTGGGTAGTGGAGAGAATCCTTCCATTAATAAGATTTTTTAAAAGCATGTTATCATCATCCTTTCCTTCCAAATTCTCTATTATTTCCCCTCTAAAACAGTCTAGTTCTAGATATTTTGCTTTCGAGTTTTGTCCTGATTCCTCTGTCATCCTCTTGAAGGCTCTTTCTGCCATGTTGTGCCTGAGCACCCGAACTCTCCTGCCAAGAGACCTGGCCCAGGCCCCCAGGAAGCTGTCAACTCCACCCTCCCTACTATCCTCATGATTCGCTTTTCTTACCCTCTTCTTTACATGGCTTGGGCATCTTTTCTGCTAAAGTCTGTGTGTTTTCTTTCTAGCTTTCTACTTGGTTTCCAGAGTTATAACACTGAAAATGTAGATCAAGTCATCTATCTGAAAGCCACACCCATAAATATACCCATGGCAGATATAAGAATCAATCATTTATTAGAATAGTTTCATAAATCAGAAAACAACCACAGAAGAGAGGCCCTAGGCAAAATTTATTTATTTATTTTTTTAGGCGAAGCAACCCTTGGTTGACCTCACAGATTGCAAGGACCTTGTCAGCTTACAATCTCTTACTTTTTAATTTTTTACACCTACAGCACCTGGTCTTCCTAGGTGGTCTCCCATCAGGCCCGACCCTGCTTAGCTTCCGAGATCAGATGGGATCGGGCTTGTTCAGGGTAGCACGGACGTAGACCAAAATTTCTTGAAAATGCAGATTCTCTTTGCGCTCCCAGCCTGCTCCTTTCTTGGCCTTTTTCTCTAAGTTGCATCTTCACTCCTCCCTTTCAAATACACCCAAACCAAGTGCCAAGGACTTTATAACCAATGGCTTTTCGAGCTCTTATAACTTGATATCCTATGTACATCATAATGCAAATATCTAAAACAATTTAAAATTAAGTAACTATATTTTAACAGAGATGAAAGCCTTTATCTTTGATAAAGCTCTAGTGATAGAATTTTGGACATATGGCAGCAAATATCGAATTGGTGAACATGGAGGCTTCATGGAGTCC